ACGCGTCGAGTCAAAGCTCAACTTATTCTACGTAAGTGTTTTATAAGAGCTGGCCGGAGATCTGTGCGTCTCTCTCGTTGCACGGCAGGAAACGAAACGAAACGAAACAAGGCGACCGACTGGAAAGAAGTTGCACTCTGCCCGACTTTTTGATCGCCTAGGAAAAACCATTTCTCCGTTAAAGGACAGCATTGTGCGGCCCAGGGTACTACCGTTGGCTCCGTGGTCGGGCTACCCAGCGTTACCTCGTAACATTCTCATGCCATCCACTTCCCTCTCCCGAAATCCCAGACGGGAAAGTGAGTTTCGGAACATGATTGTTAATTTTACGTAACGTACGGCTCGGCTGCTCGCTAGGAACAAGTTTCCCCTCCTGCTTTTACCCAGATCTCCGTTCGATACCGGACTTGAATTTTCTCGACTTTAGTTTCCCGATAACAAAGAAAAAGAAAAAGAAAAAAGAGAAGAAACTTAAAAAAAAAAAGTTACTTCCTAAATTTCCCGCAGTTCCCACGCTCCGTTTGAGAACAGCTTTCATTCTCTCTCTCTGTGTGTGTGTGCGTACGTGTCTCTACATAGGTGCGTACAAAAACGAGTTATACTGGCTGCTTCGATGTTTTCGAAAAACAAACCAACGTTATCGCCGTGACGATGTTAACTTTAGAACGAAGCGACAAAGAGAAGGCAGAGAGGGGAGGGGGATAAAGAGGGACCGACAGTGAAAGAGAGGACGGAGGGATAGGGTTAGTCTGTATCAACTGTGCACCCTTATCAATTGGAAAATTGGTGTGTGCAGTGGGAGCGGAAGAGGAGGGGACACAGCTACGTTCAGCTCGTTGGAGGGGGAAGAACGATTAGGTTACGCGCCTGCCAGGGGCGTACATATCGAAGGGTCTAAAAAGGAGCTACACATCATGGAATATCAGGTTCAGGTATAATTTTCATTCGTTGACCGCCTTCGAAGAATCCACTAAAGTCAGAAATTGTTTTAACGATCTGCATTGTCTATGCACCCCCTTGGTGAATTAGGAATTTCGAACCAACCAGGCTGGTGGCGAAAGCAAGGGTGCCCGTACAAAAGCCAGGGGCGTATCCAAGGAACAGAAGGGAGCCTTTGTGTGCACGTTGCGAGAGAACCGAAAGAACGAGCAAGTGAATCAGCGGGAGTGAGAAAGGCAGAGGCAGACCACGACGGTGAGGGACGGGGAGACGAAGGAGCGACGGAAGAAGAGCGACTCCGGCCGTTTAGGGCGCATGCGTCACTCGTAGTGGGCGTCGGGAATGTGTTGACACGAGAGGCCGAGAGAACGCCGTGTGCCTCTAATGCCACGACGCCCGTGTTATCGTCGATACGGTTCCCATGCTGCGGGTCCGCCCCATCTTCACAGAATCTGGGTCTTCCTCACGAAATCGGGTCTGTCACGTTTCCAATCGACTTTCTATAGGGATTAATGATTCAGAAATGGCTACCCGGGTCATGAATGCAAGGAACGGGAAATAATTTTTCAAATTATTATACTATTGTATACTGGCCGTCCAAATGCTTAGGTTACTCGGCTAATCGGTGTATAATTATGGTTCAAGGACTAATAAAGTGTATGTATTTGAAAGGAAGGTCGAAGGATGAGTACTATAGATTTCTAATGGAATACAAAGTGAGGTTATGACTCTCTAAGCTTTAGAATTCTCTTTATAGAATTATGAATTGTAATTTTTCGTGAAATATCTTTATAGGAATATTCATAGTTTATTGCTGGTCTCTGTATAAGTTTCAGTAAAGTTCTTCGAGGCTACTAAGGGCTTATTTTTCGCGGAACTTTTACCGGACGTTTAAAGGCTCGTACGGCCATAGAGTTGGCTACCAGGCTATAGGGAATGGCGTTCTCCGCACAGTAAATTTATATTCGACTATAATCGGGGAAGCTGTGCGCGGAAGATATCCGTATGACTAAATTATCATTGCTTTCACGATGCCTTAGGTATACCACATAACGATGTACCAACGAATACGTTGTATAAAGTGACTTTTTTTGTTGAAATTGTATTAACGATTCAGTTTCTTCTATACAAAATAAATAAAAATAAAAATGTTATTCTGTATAAAAAGTAATGTTAAAAATAGAAGAATTATAATTGCAATAAACGCAAGAAATGTTAGTCATCATTACTTCGTAACGTATATGCGAACTCTTACGTACGAGCAGTCTTGTGGAAGTACTATTGAAAAATTCTATGCATTTATGAGCGTGGACTTTATGGAGCGGTAAGAAGATCGCGATTGTTGCTTGTAACTTCTGACCATTTGAATAACTCAAGGTAGCAGGCTTTAATTCCTCAATTCCGTCACAGTTTATTTTAAAAATTACGATATGTATATATACAACATTAAAGCGGATGTATCTATTTTTTATTACATGTAATATATTTGTGGTTAACCTAAAAGTTAATTTGACGCATTTATCACTGATACACGAGACCAGATTATATACCCGATTAGTAACTATCATTAAACTGTTAATTTCGAAGAAAGCGTCCAAGAATCGTTATACGCGTATATTGGTCGAAGCTACGAAGTTTCACTATCAACTATGCATAGAAAACTAATATTCCTATCGATATGTACATGTAAACTAAGCGAATAATCGATTTGCACGTCACATGCGTGCCTATGATAATAATTCTCAAGCATGAATCAACGTGGTAATAAATTTGTAACATTTTCCACTTTAAACGGTGTCTCTGCTGCTTCTTTTTTCATCTACATACTCGTTACGTCGGCAATAAGGGTATGCATGAAGTACAACGTATACCACGGCGGTGTTGCACAAACACAACGAAGCAGCGAAGCCCGAAAACAGTTTGAGAAGAAAGCTTTTGCTACGACGCGTACTTTCACATACACGCGATGCACGTTAGTGTACACTTGCACATATACAAACAGCAGACGAACCCTGTGTACACACACATATACGTATATACATTTGTCAGCATAGGACGTATATATGCATAGATCTCAATACGAACCAGAGAGATAAAGGAAAAAGACGGTAGACGGGGGAAGGGACGCATCTGAGCAAGATCGGAAAAACGTATGCATCACAGGTGCGTATCGGTGCAAACGAATGCAATGTACACATACACATAGAAATCTTTCCTGGTGCATGTAAGGGACGTTTTCACGCTTGTGTGTGCATCCTCTGTTTACGAAGGACACTTACCAAAAATCGAAGGTTGGAGTACCACAACGAAAGCCAAATACGAAACCGAGCGGACAAAGAACGTGGGCAAATGCGTGTATATCGAATGTGGTGGGAGAGACAGGAAAAAACAGGATGAAGGGAAAGCTAGGAAAAAGGATACAATATGTATAGTGGGTGTCATAGGAAGTAGTATTTCGGGGGAACGAAAAGAATTGTCATGTTCAGTCACCAGAGATACGCGTTCAGGAAATCTACGAAAAAGCGATATGGAAGTGGTTGGGTACAGCACACCATCAGGGGGTGGAAATAAAAGACAGGGTCGAGAGAGATAAAGAACTATAGAGAGACAGAGAGAAAGAGAGAGAGACAGCGCGCATCCAAATTTCGGAGGGAAAACTCCTACCTTTTAACCGGGATAATCTGGGATTTTTCAGAGCGATGTCATAGCAGAGTACGTCGTGGTTGCGCTAGGCGAAACCGACGGTCGGCGATGGCCGTGCAGCTCACCACTGAGAACACTGAGGTCGCTCCATGTCTCTCACTCAACCCAAGCCACGACCCCGCCCATTATTACGGGCCTACCGATATTCCCGAGGCCGTATGTTCAACCATAAACCACCAAGTACGTTCATATGTTCGATTAATCTCGCCCGTGAACCACCGAAGATATCCTCCGATATTCCGCGTAGCGATATCTGCGTCGCAAGATTATCAGCGTTCTTTGCTACTGACGTCAAACGCTTACAAGAACTTCGGTTATTTCGCCGTGGGTTAATGGCGGCACCACTTGCTTGTCTCTCGTAATAGTCACGTTGCTTTCTACCGATATCGACGGAGAAAAATAATGTTGAAAGAGTAGTACCATACTTTTGTCATGTTTTGTTTGCGAACAAGAAATATTTCGGTTTATGCTGAATCTCCACGCATCATCGGCGTATGCACGTTTATACACCTCGGAAGTTTTAAAAGATCCCTGGCGTTGGGAGAGCAGCGGGGAGGTCGTTTTCCCCACCATGTATCTCCATAGACTACTTCACCTTCAGTTCCTACATCGTAGTATTTTATGCGTTACATCAAATCCAATCTAGAAACTATATGTTTATAATTTTTTAAATTCACATATGCAAAGGTATTGGAACTAAAAAATTTTGTAAATTTCGTATTTTTAACGTAGTTTTTAAAATGTAAAATGAATTTTAAAGAAAAAAATAGTATAAAATTAAAGATTTTGAAGAATCGAAAGAGACTATGGAGAAATCATATAGTGCTATAGTTCTTGACCCCACTACCTGTCCCATTACGTATGCTTCCTTCTATGTTCCTTTAGAGATCTTTTCGAACTTTTCAAGCTATAGATACGAATTTCCCGTTTATCTTTGATAAAGGTAATCTGATAAACAAGGAAGGAAACAGTAAGGGGTGTAAAACCATTTCTTAAATTCAGACCTGTATCACAAGGTGTCGTGCTTCACTACGTTCGACCAATCGGCGTGCTTTACCTTCCGATCGTTACACACAATATCAGTTTATCTAATGATTTTGTTATTAAATATAAAGCGAAAGTACAACATCGAAGTTTAAAAAAAGTTAAAGATATTTCTCCCATGTGCAGTATTTCAAAATTGTATTTATATAATGGTTTTAAACGAAATATACCAAACTGTACGAAAAAAGTCGAAAACGGCCGAGAGAGAATCGATGCGATTGGACAAACGGGGTCACGTGATTGGAAACACACTCAAGTATTGGTTGGACTTGACTGGTGGGAGATGTTCATAATCCTTAAGATAGGCTTGCGTCTCACAAAGGCAAGAGACAGTATTGGAGAAGGATTGTGCTTATGAGCACGTAGTTTACGAGTTCGATCGCAGTATCCGGTTTCAGCGAGTGAGTTGTGTGAGTTAGGCGAAGTGGCGAGAAAGAGGTTATTAAAGTGGGAGAAAGAAGCAAAGGGAAGAGGTAGAAATTGACGGGCGCTGTTTAGGCGGATGATATACATCAGTTTTTAAAATAGAACGAACGTCGTTTAATGTGCGTACATATACAGTCTCGAATCGGAATAATCACTGTAAAGTTAATTTCACGTTTCCACGAACATATGTGTACGCGCGCGTGCGCGTTTCGAGGGGACGAATACGGAAAGAAGTTTCGCTGTCGAACGGTAATCGTATTGTGAAAAATCCGTGCGAAGCAGCGAAAACAAACATCTTATGTCCGCCATCTTGTGCCTCTCCAGCTGCGTTGAAAGGAAGTGAGAGAATACGGACGACGCGTGTGGTGTTATTTTGTTCGGCGAAAGGAAAAAAGTGTAAGCAAAGGTGACCTACGGTCACCGAATGTGGTCAAATTCGCAAAAAACACGAATAGGGAGGACTGCGAGAGAACTCAAAGTAAGCAGGGCGAGGTAGCATTGCGCTCACTAGGAGGTTCGTGGGGTACCCCACCAAAGTTTATTCCTCCGCGTTCCCCCTTCCCTTTTGCCCTGGATCTCGAGATTATTGCGCAGTTAGAAAAATCATTCTATACAAACACCGCCGAAAACTTTGTTGCATCTTTTGAAAGTGGCCCGCGGACATCATACGGTAAGTCCCACCGACGCGTTCAAAATTAATTATTCCCCTCACCACCCATTGTGTAATTGCGTAATTTCAATGCAACGTGAAATGAAAAATAAAGATGTCGTTTATTTACTTTTCTTATAAGCAAATTATTTTACATGTCTTTTTTATTCATCAAAAGTCTAATCATATCAATCTTCCAAGTTTTTTTTTACGCATCCAGTGTTATTACGTATTGTGCGCCTTACTTTTTTATCATGTTTATACGAGGTCAATCTTGTGGACGTTACATATTGAATTATCTCGTTACTTTAATATGATGCAAAGAGTGTGTGTTACTATTTGCTGATGAAATTCAAATAAACTTTACGTAAGTTGTTTAAAACATGGAACGATTCGTTTTGCAGACGGGTCGGTTGACTTTGTAAGTGATAGAAAAGTCGAGAGTACGCTATACAAACCATGACGAATTCAGTACCAAAATTGAACAACAAAGTGGACCGGCAGGGGTCGCCGAATGTTGGCGTCGAACGAAATCATCACCGTTCAAGTGCAATCAAATCGTCGACGTTCTTCTACAGCAGTGGAAGATCTTACGGCAGAAGTTCGACCGGTAGACTGAGCTGCAGTCCGCACGGTTCGTCGAAGGGTACTAGAAACTCGCCATTACGATACGAGTATAGTCCGCGAGGCAGTCCAACGAATAGCTTCTACGCGGGTGCAAAGTTTTCCGAGCCGCCGTCTCCTGCGAGCCTTCCCAAACCACCGAGCCATTGGACTACGAGACTGATGACCAGTTGTCAGCAAGCCGACAGGAGTTGCGATATTTCAAATCATCTGAAGATGATATTAAACGTCCAAGCCTGATACCTAAATACCAACAAGCCGCTAGAAACGGTAACCAGCTCCTAAAAGCGAAGAGCCAGGTACGATATTATCGTCCCACCTCTTGGATTTAAGGATCTATTTTTTTTTTTGTCTTGTATGTGATGTCAAGCTGCTCGTTTGAAACAGACAGACAGACAGACAGAAAAAAACAAAAAAAAAACGAAAGTGTTTTACAACTGCGCGATAATCTCTAAGGACGATACAGAAGTAATATTGCAACTAGTACAGGGCACCAGCGTCTTCAAGTATCACGATAAAGGATGTTGAGTGAAAGAAAAGAAAAGAAACCACGATTCGTTCTTTAAACTATTATACAAAGCATACAAACATTAAGCATATAAAAGACGCAGGTGCGTCTTACCGCGCGACCGTGATTCAAGTATATGATAACTTGTAACGATTCTATTATGCGCCGTCTATGAAGATATAAACGTATGTATTTTAGATTATTATTATATATGATTAACTTGCAGAGACGCATACACATACACATACACATATACACACAAAACACTATTATATTATCTGTTTGACGAAATGGTACGAAGACGTAGGCAAAGCTGCATTAGCTACTTTTAGAGATGATAGCTATATATATTCTCTTTTTCTTTATTAAAAAAATCAAAATTGCTATAATTTAGCATTATCGGTCATGACAATATGTTTTATTCTTTTCAATTACATCTCTGGAATTCTTTCGAAAAAAGTTACGAAAATCTTTACACATTTTGCCACAGAATGTGTGCTAATTATTGCTATTTTTTTTTTTCATTCAGGAATACTTTTATTTACAACATAAGTGGTAAACTTTAAGTGTTGCATATATTCATCTACTGCTCTTTAGCATAAACCTAGGTATTGATTCAGTATGTTTCTGACTTAATGACTATCGCTAATTATCTTCTTTCTGTTAAGGTGTCAATGATTTTGTAGAATTTATAAGTTCAGCAAATCTTGAGAGCATAATCAAATTATCCTCGCAAGATTTATCAGAGTAAAATTTTTGGTTTTTACATATCTTCCTCTGTTACTGAAGGTATTCTTATTCATTTTGCAGCTTTGCAATAGTTCTGCAAAGCAATATGTAAGATTTAAATGACGAGTTTCCAGTGTGTATACAGATGGATTAATTTTTTTGAAATTTGCATAATTCATTGATGAAAGAATGTGATACAAGGTTGAGTGAATGAATGATGAAGAAAATGATCTGATATGTATGGTTGATGAATGATTACTATTCAGTTTTGTCAGTGAATTCGTAGTTAAGCAACATTCTTGCTTAAGTTAACAAAATTTTTATGAAGATTTCCTATAAATGACAAATTTAAAATTAAGTTTTACCTAATATAAAAAGTCTAATCAGAGGCTTATCATTAAGATTTCATCATATATAATGATCTTATTTGTCTTCAAAATTCTACTTTCATTGGATAACATTTATTACTTGATATAAATTGTAGATTTAAAAAGAATGTTTGGTTCAGTTCTAAGTGCACATGTTTCAGCAATACATGTTTTCAAACATTTCAAATTTTTGCAAATAATTCTATGTGAATTTTTCTCCTCTAAACATTTCACACATTCGAATTACATTATTGCATAATTCTGTTGTAATGTAATTCATTGCAAGAATGACAATGTTCGTTTTTAATTTCTTTGCATTTTTTTTTCTTTTTTTTCTTTTTCTCCTGTTTGTAACCTAAAATGCAAACGTATATTTAATCATGTAGACTGACCAAATTACTTGATGTAGTGTTTTAATTAATACGTTTATTTTTCTTTTTTATTCAAAGAAAGGCATTGTTCTTTTAAAAATTACATTGGTTTCATTCTACGTTTAGATAATACATTTTTTTCTTTTTTCGCGTAAGTTAGTTTTTAGGGTGATGTACGAAAATATAAGTTTTGGTGTATGTATTTGCAGATCTCAAGAAAATGAGTGCATCCATGCGTCGTGTGAATGTATATATGTGTGTGGAGGAGGGAGTGAGAGAGAGAAAGGGAGAAAAGATATAGCAAAAACGTGCAATTTCGAACTTTCGATTACTTTCTCCATCTTCGTAGTCTTGTAAGGCGAAATTTTTAATCGTATCTATAGCATCTGACAGCCGTATATCACGTGGAATGGTTGATAGAAAATCCTGATGTAAAATCTAACAGGAGTTTCATTGGTTTTAATTCGGTGCAACCGGTTCTCATCGAGCATGATATCTCGGGTTCGTTCTCTTTTTCTTTCTTTGACAACCGGTGCCGTGCGGCGGTTTAAATAGAAGGCGAAAGAGAATAGAGATTTCACGAAGAAAAAGAAAAAAAAGGCACAACAAACAACATCCGTCTTCGTTCCTCTCACTTTCGTAATTCGATTTATTCTTCATGGGGCATATGTTTTCGGTTTGGCTAGTTTCTTCGTATTCGTTTCCATTTCGTTAGTAGTAGATTGCTTCGTTCAAGGTTCTTCGAAAGACAGTGAAATTTCCATTCATCTGAATTTCTACGAGAAAAATAATGAAAAATTGTTCGTTGGTTCTATAGCGTATGTGTAATATTGATATGAGCCGGAAAATACCCGACAGTCGGTAAATCTTTGATAATTGTTGCGTAATAGTTTCTGCTCTCGACGGAAGAGGAATCGTCGCGATTGTTAAGTGGGAAGAAAAGTCGAAAGAAAAAAACAGGCAGGATCACATCGACAGAGATTCATTTTTCATCGCATAGGTAAATATATCGTAACGTGTCACTTTTCGTCCTAGGATATATACCATACGTATAAATATATGTTCCAAAGATTTTTTTTTTTTTTAACGAGAATTCTTCAATTGTGGAAAATTTCACACGTACGTTCGGTATTTTGTTTCGAAGGAGGAAGCACAACGATCTCTCTCTCTTCAAATGCTAGTGAAATTTTAGTATTTGTCCAGTGAATTCTTCCTTTTTAACGCTTTCGAATTACGTTTAACCTAAAAATACCAATTTGAACCTTTACGAAGTTCGTTGTAAATATATATACGCCAGGGATCGGATAGAAATTTCTTTATAGAGTGCGTTGTGACAAATTTTTTTCCCTGAAAAAAGGCTCATTGGGCGTGAAGTTAAACGAATTAAACACTGCCGTCCTGTGGGAGATCGATAAATCGATTAGCTTGAACATACGGAGATTATCGCACAGACGCGCATCGTTTTGCGAATTGTGTAAATAGACACAAGGGAATGTAGAGGAGGGAAAAAATTGTAATTTTGAACAGCACTTGTAAATGTCCCTGTATAGAAGAAAAAAAACAAACAAAAATGTGAAATTAGTGTACATACGGTGAACAGAAACAGAGGGGCGATATGTATTATGTATATATTATATACATATTGTAAAGGGAATTAATAATCTCGGTGTGAACGGCGTTTTGTTCCGTTCCGATCGAGAGCATAAAACTAAAGAACTCTTGAAGGTCGGATCTTTGAAGTACAGCAATACGCGGTATTTACCTGCTCGAGTCTCGCAGAGGAGCGAAAAATAGTCAGTATGTGCAAAAGTAAACAAAAAAAATATATATATATATAACGAAAAAGTAAGTCGAAGGTTGCCAGGCTCGGTTTATATGATCTTTGCTGTGTTGTGATTGTGAAAGAAAGGAGGGAGAGACGAAAGCGAAGATGGCGTCCAGAGGTTAGGAAACACGTTCGACGCCAAAGGAATAAGGGGCATGAATTACAAAGTGAATAAATCAACCAATCGATAATATTAATTTAAAAGATGATAAGAAATTAGCTGTGATGATGACCCTATAGGTACTACTAATTTTTAATTGGTAACTGATCAACATATA